AGTCCTTGGGAGGGCAGAGGGACAGTGCAGGAGAGGACGACCCTCGATGAGAAGGACTGATTCAGTGTCTGGGGTAATGGGGTTGGGGGTGGCAGAGACAATGAGGTTTAGCAGGGTTTAGGGCTGTTGTACACAGGGTCGCTATGAGTTGCAGGTGACTTGATGGACATAACAACTACAACAACAACAATGTGAAGGAAGGGCATGCTGGTGGCTTAGTGGCAAAAAGCTGTGCTGCAATCCTGAAAGCAGGAGGTTCACGGCCACCAGCTGCTCCATGGGAGGAGAAAGAGCAGTGTCCTCCTGTGCAGTTACCTGCCTCGGAAAACCTGCCTGAGGGTCAGCTGTGGGCTGGTTCTGACTCCATGGTACACTGCAACAACAGTGCAGGGAGTGGTCTGCTAGCCAATGAGGGGCGCAGTAAGACCCCACCCCCTCTCCATGGGTCACTTTTGACCTGCTGGTAGCATCGCCAGACCCGAGGTTTTAGCCGGGGGCTCACAGGGCCATGATCTTTACAGAAATGGTGGATCCACACTGACCTTCTGCCTGGCACCCTGGCCTCTCCCTGCTCCCGAGCACTGCCCAGAGGTCAGGCCACTGAGTTGGTTAGGACTCAGAGTGGCCCTGTGAGCAACAGACTAAAACCCTCCTGTCATCCACCAGCCTGTCCTCTGCCATGGCCAACCCCTACGCCACACCGCTACCAGTGAGTCCCAGCTGGCCCACTAGCACACGTTCTGAGGCCGTAACTCCCTGCAGAGGAAACTGCCCATCCTTCCCCCCATGGCCGTGCTGGGCAAGCAGCTGTCAGAGCTGCACCAGCTGTAGCCACTCCTGTCACAGTCACTAGAGGTGCAAAGCGGGCCATGTGCAGGAGTCTGGTGGCAAGAGACGGCTGGACAGACCACCCAAGGTCGCAGTGGAACCTCAAGCAGAGTGCTTCTCGGGCATCTTCTAAGAGCTGCGGTAAAGGAAAAACAGACTGGGCGACACGGAAGGAGAGACAGACAGACTGGGCGACACGGCTCAGGAGGGAAGGAGAGACAGACAGACTGGG